CTTCCCGCTTGTGAACTGCCGGTCACGGCGGTGCGCGAGGAAAAGTGGGTCCAGAAAGGCTTTAAAAGGGTCGCACTCGGAGTGTTACAGATGTTACCACCAGGATGGTGCGAGTGCCAGGGGAGGGAGCGCTGCCGCCTGCAGAGCGCTGCGGACTGTCGCTCGCTCTGCGAGTCAGTTGTTCGGCACAGGACAGCTCTGTAGCTGAAGGGTGCAGCCTGCAGTTCCACAGGACCCCGCTGTGGTGGGCTCGGTGCCTTTCAGTAAGCACGAATGCATTCCTGTGTTTAAGTGTATTGTTCACTCTTCACTTAATTCCTCTGCCCTGTGGAGCTCGCCTTTCATAGAATCACAGCATGGTTTGGGTTGGAAAGGACCTTAAGATCATCTAGTTTCACCCCCCTGCCATGGGCAGGGACACCTGGCACTAAACCGTGTCACCCAAGACTCCATCCAACCTGGCCTTGAACACTGCCAGGGATGTTTTTGGGTTGTGTTTGTGTGTGGTAACTGAGATAGCCGAGAACGTGCTCACTAGCAGTCTGCTTAGGGCCCTGAGGAAAAGGGTTGTCTTAACTCCACAGTCCAGTAGCAAAGTCATTCTTTCTGGCAGCCCACCACAGCCCCACTTTAATCACCACGATTTTAGTTGCAGAACTGTTGTTTGGACCACTTAATTCTTCCTTTTTTCAGATAGATAGATAAGTGGTTTTCCTCTTACTGAAAGCAGCCCTGTGTTGGAAGGTGTTTGCCATTGCCCTTTATGCCGTGGTCACGGCACATGAGGCTCAAGAATTCCTGCATGCACTGGTAAAAAGCACTGAAACTTCCTGTTAGGACTGACGTTGAGCCTGGTTAAAAATTAACATTTTTTAAGTGGGTTAACGGGAAGAAGCCCCTGTTGCCTATTCAGATAAAAATCCGTGCAGAATGGGCCTGTATGAGCCCAACACCAAAGCCTGCGATCACTGGGAGTAGCGGGACCAGCGCCTGTGCCGGCAGCACAGAGAACAGAGCGGGTGGTGCAGGAGCAGGTTCCCAGCGGTGCAGGAGGCAGAGGGACAGCACAATTGCACTTTGGCCTTTGCATCTTTGTCAGAGGTGGGGCATTAACTGGACCTACAAAGGCATAATGGGTGGTTCCTGCCGGGCAGCTCCCGCGCTGCTGGGTGTTAACAACAGTGATCTACCCAGTGCTCGGCACTGCTGCTCCCGCACCGGAGGGCACTGGTACTGCTTTCTTTTCTGCTTTTTAAGAACTGATTTTCTAAATTGCCCTGATGTTGCTTTGTGAGATCTCTGCCAGCTCTAACCGACTGACAGTTGGGCTCACTGAATATAATCGTTTTAAATGAAGCCTAAAGCCCAGCTCCACCTGGCCTGAGATGGCAAAGGGATTTTGAACCGGGCTGCCCTCGTATTTTGCT